GGGGGTGTTGGGGGGGGCTATGGGGGTGTTGATGGGGTTATTTGGGGTTCTGGACCCGAAAGGGAGAAAAAAAAAAAAGCTGCAATTTTTTCTATCCGCAGGCAGGGGTTGGCGCTATTTTGCAGGAGGTAGTGGCAGCTCGACCATCTGTAAGGGAGGGTAGCCCCCATGCTGTGGGATGAGGCAGGATGTTGACTCGACAGTTCTATTCGTGTAACAATCAGCCACCAAAGGGGCATGGACAACGGTCACAAGCGTCTGCAAAGCTTATCCTGCCAGTCTGTTTGGCAGTATTCCAGACTGTTAGTGTAGTGTTAACTCATGGCATTAGTTGAGTGACATATATTTCGGATTTATTATGACAAGCAGAGCAGTGAGTTTGAAGTTTGAACTCTTCCGATGGGAAAACATGAAGATAATCAATTTTCTAACATAATGTGGAACATCGAATAAAAGCATACTCTTACCCGGGCTTCCTCCCCTGAATCCAGCCATAATGGTGGCCGGATGCTTGCCGGAAGTCGGCACCTGCCAGCCCAACCTGACTTAGAAACCTCTTAATTGGTGCTAAGTTGTTAACGTGCTAATTTTTGTGCACGAAATGCATCCTGTGGTACTTTTGCTGCTCTGGGTTTGTTTCAGGTATATGGCATTCCTGATCCAGGCGAGAGTGACTGCTATGCGCAAGCCAGAAGGTCCTGGGTGTAGAGGCTTCATTGCTAAGAGGGAGGTTGAATGGCTGGCGTTGCATGCATTTAGCAAGATCTTGCGGCGGAAGCAGGCAAGGCACAAAAAGCTACTGGTGATGCTGGAAAGGGCAAGAGACAGTGCACATTACAGGAGAATTGCTTCAGCAATGGTGGATGTTGTTGACATCAAACGATCATCAATCTTTAAATGTGTTAGATACTAGAAGTCTAGAAGTAGAACATTGCTGTTTTCTTTCCTCATTGCCGTCCCCTCGCATTCTCCCACGTGAGCGACCTTTGAAATTGCCCAGCTTCCACATATTCAGTGGCACAATGTTCAAGTACATGTTATGCAGAGATTCCAAGACGACCCAATTTCGCACGAACATTGAAGAGTACCTGACACAGATTAATGGTCAGGCTGTGAGGTTAGGTCATAAACAGTCCTGACAGAAGCCAATAACGTATTTTGAATTCACAAACGAAAAAATTCGTCAAGAAAGGCAATAGATTTGCAGTTGCTGCTCTCTCTCTCTCTCTCTCTCTCTCTCTCTCTCTCTCTCTCTCTCTCTCTCTCTC